CTTCTATGCCTTTTTTTTCTTTTCTACATGTTGCCTATCTATCATACAAAGTAATTTTCATTTTAAGATTGAAAATACTTTTATGCATCAGAAAATTTTCAAATTTCACATGTAAAATCTTTATAATATCCAGATAGTTATCAAACATTTCTTAAGAAAAACTTCATATTTTATGTTATTTTCAGTAATTAATTTCTGTACAGGTTCGGTAGGTTTGACCAATCTCGTAACCACCTTAAAAAATTAGGAAATAAATATAAATCATGCCTCTTTCATTCTAGAATGAACACAAATTATAACATGAAAACATAAATGTTTAGACTGAATAGCTTAAATCTCATAACATTATACATTTATTATTTTTTATTATACTCACCTTTCAGCCATGCCTGGCTAACAATACAGAAGTTACAATGATGCGGCTCACATGCACTCATGTTACCGTATCAAATAACATAAAACTGATCTTTGGTCTATACAAAGTAACTTGTCTTAGCTGTGTTTTAGTACACTAGTATTTTGTAAAATACAGTCACATTTCAATTTTTATACATTATATATGTATAAAGATTATTGCTATATTGAAATAAGTTCTTAAAAGTAAAGCAAACAATTATCTCTTTTAGTTATAACCTTTGTACTTGGTTGCTGCTTGATGTTGGTTGCTAAGCCTTTAAAAATTTTGTATGTGGAGGATATGAAACAAATGATTTATTTTAGCTTTTATATATATACATTTGAATAACTAAAAAATCATAAATTACTACATCAATGCCACAGAATTCTACTATAATTTATCAAGCTTAGTAACTAAGATGTATTTTAGTCTAAAAAATATGAAATTTCGAGCAAACTAAAGACACACCCTACCTCCTTGAGACTAAAGAATCTATCTAATGTAACAAATATTACTTGTGGTATATTAATACAAATGTGTAAAGTGTAAAATGATGTATTTATGTAGTATTAAGCACCACAAAGGTGATTGTATAAAATAACATAAAAAGAAGTTGCCAAAAGTTAACATTTTCTTAAAATGAAAATGTATTTTCAATAATACTTACCTCTACTGACACTTATAGCTATTACTCAACTGCCAGGGTTTCAAATTTGCCCATCTATGCATTGGTCTGATTGTTTCTCACTTGCTCCAGTCTTTTATACCCTATTCAATTGCCCTTGGCAATATTTGTCTCATGATACTCTCCAGTTACACCAATACGGCCTCTATCCTGGTACTGTATATAAGCACCTCATTCAGATAATTTTATCACTTTTTCAAGACTGATACCATCCCAGTATCTAACACTAGCTCTTAATGGGGAAGAAGGGAGGAAATGTGTCAGCAGAGGTAAGTATTATTGGAAATACATTTTCAATTTAGGAAAATGTTAACTTCCAAAACATACACACCTCTTCTCCCACTTACAGCTAGAATCCCACACTGAGAAGATGGAGGGGCTGGTGAGGACATCATCAATACAGAAAGCGTTTGCATAGATCAAGGGTGTATGAAGTTAAGAGTGGTATCCAAATGGGGGGAACCACACTACATCCAGAAAAGGTATGCTCTTCACCCTGAACTTAGTTCCTATATCAAAGGTGGAATAGTACATGATTAATCATCATTATAGACCAGCCCCAGCCAAGGTTACACGACTCGGGGTTGAAATTAAGGGATCTTGATCCCTATATCCCACATTGGTGGTTAGGGCAATTGGACTGCAACGTTAGATATAGATATACATTTGATTGTATCTCAACCTGCAGCCACAGAGAGATGAGTTCTGAAACACCAGAATTATGATAAGAAAGTAAGCAACACCGAAGCGGAGAAACTTTCTCCTCCACCTGAAGAAACCGGAAAGGCAACAACCCAGGCTCTGAATGACATGATCATGTATGCCTTACTCAACCAAAGAAACAGAACTGATCTGGTCTGAAATTATGAACATTCATCCTCACTCTCTAACCGAGTGGACAAGGAGCCTTCCACTTGCTTCCAGAATTATGGAGAGGATGTGGAACACTGTGCTTAACCAAGGACCCAGGATGGAACCACTCCACATTCGGAATTTTGAGGAGATAGTGGACCTCCATCCATGAACAATATACTAAACCGATATTGATCAAAGGAAGTACCATTCACACCCCAAACAGATAGCTGACCATCAAATCTGAACCGGTATTATGAGTAGGCTCCCACATAGGCTGGTGCAGCTCCTACTGATATCTGGGAAAAACATCCAGGAATCCAGTTAGGGTGGCCCCCAAATTTGTCCTCTTCTCCAAGAGTGGAGGAAATCACTCAAACACTCTGGAGTAAAAGCCTCTGTCCACCACCTCAGTGACTGGAAACTGGGTGGGGTAAGGACTCCCTAGCTCCACTAGTAGAATCTGAGAGTTAACGAGTGTTGGGGAGCCCTGAGGAACAATGCTCTGAAAACAGTGCAATAGGTGAAGTTCCCTAAATTTTTAGAAGCAAACTGACCCCCATTTATTGAATCCGTTCATTGGCAGGGAAGAGTAGGATCCCCTTTAACTTTATTCATGATAGTCCATGAGTGTCAGTCCAGCATAATATGGTAATACCATCTGGTGAGTTCCTAGATGGTCTTATGAAATACCTCATTTCTACAGAGCCTGTTGCAACTAGTAGCAAGTATAGCTAAATTGGTTGCTAGTGTGGAACTGGATTGATAAAAGCACATCTGTGTGGGCCACACTTGCCACAGAGTGGGATCCAGTAAAAAAAGGAGGTAAGGGACCCTGGAAAGTAAATAGACAAGAGAAGTAGAAAAAAATACACAAACCTCCTTATAATCTAGCAGGTGTGGTCAAAACAGCCACAGGGAGTAGGCAAAAACCCTCAGAAAAAGAAACTGCCAGATCATGTAAATAATGTGAGAGAAAAGTATTGGGAGAGGTCCACATACCAGCCCGCAAGATGTCCTCCAGCAGGTTATTCAATCGGGCAGCTAAAGACATAGAAATGTGACGAATTTGATGAGATGTGACTCACAGAAGTTTCCTTGCCTGTAAAGAAAATCCAGAATAAGCAATATGGATCAATTTGCGAAGCCACCTCAAAGTAATCAAGGATAAATCCCGGAAACTGAAGGATCCCAATGAATAAAGAGTCAATTTCTAGCACCTCGAAAGGAGTTAGTGAGAGCCATATAACATGTCAGGACTCTGACAAGACATAACAAATGATAGGGTACGATTGGTCATAGAGGTGAGAAATAGCTGGCAAATGAATTGGCAAGAAGGATTTATCCCCTTTCCTGTCTGCCAGAGTCTTAGGAAGAAAGGACCGAGCAGGTATGGCACGACAAAAGTGGAGTGATAAAGAGTCCTGTGCACACGTAGTGCAGAAAATTCTAACCTATGATGTCCACATGCCAGCAGCAACACAAAATACACTTTAAGGGAAAGGTGATATATGGTACTTGAGGTTAATAGCCAAAATGGTCGTTGAGACAAAGCATGTAATACCACCTGATTATCCAAGTTGAGTAATTGAAAAGGCTGTGTGGGACTAAGGACTCTAAACTATTTAAGAAGGCTGGATAGCACCAGGGATTCAAATACTTTCCAATGTTTAGAATATTGAAAGGTAATCGATAAGGTAATTGTCTTATATAAAGTGACAGTAGACGAAGGTAGACCTCTGTCAAAAAGCCAGATCAAAAAAACGAGATATGGTGGCTATATTTAGGTGAAGTGGGTTCAATTTCCTTATGAAACATCACTGGTGATAAGTGTGCCATTTCCATAGATAAATGACCATTGTGAGTCCAAGGATAGATTGAAACAAATACAAGGCAACTTGAGAAGTTAAACCTTGATGCCGTACAAAGGACTGCATAACTTCCATA